TAATGTGGAACCCCGTGTGGACTATCTTATTATCTGATGATTCTTAATCAACTCATGAAACAAGTGAAAAATTAGTCCGGTCTGAATTGATCTCGTTCTTTTTGTATACATACCTTAGACTATAAAATGCATATATTGAAAAAAATAATGACGCACAACAAATAGAAATAAAAAAAACTTATTCGAGACATCCATTAAAATCAGAATGATAAAGAAGATTATCCTGACCTTTGCATAGAACAGGAAAAACAGGATGGTAAGGCAGTAGTGCGTTTAACACCAAAGTAAAACAGGGCGAAACAAAGATTATAGATGAAAGGAGATCTAAAGAACAACCATCGTAATGGAGATGGAGGAAAGGGAAAGAGAGCAAGAAAAGGAAAAGGCACACAAAAAAGTAGCCATAGAGTACACGCAAAGAGTCTGACACTATATAAAATCAGCGTAAAACATGTAGTGTCATGCTGGTGAAGTCCCTACGATCGTTTCATCCGTTCACCAGAAACAGAATCGTCAGCGGACGAAGGAGCGCGTGGCAAGCGAGATCAAAAACCCCAATATATAGTCACCATCACACAGAGTTCACCTATCATCTGAAATCGTCACACAACAAAGGATCATGCAGCTTTAGTGGCAGAGAGGAGTCGGAGGAGGTGGGCGAAGTAGAACAGGAAAAAAGACAGAAACTCTATCCGGACGCCATGCGAGGAGGGGAGATAGAAGTCATAAAGAAAGAGACAGTAGTCAGGTTAGACCCGAAGGTGTCTTGGAAACCGCAGTGCACAGATCCAATAATATGAAACAATCCGGACGAGAGAAGAGATATCTGTTGGGCGGTAAAAGGTCCTAACAACCGTTTCCAATAAGGGAACCATATGCGAAAAGCGGCAGTTGCTAAACTGATCCGGCCAGGCAGAGAATAGAATGAAAGACTGTCACAAGAGTTCCCGCCAGCCCGATGATAAAAAATCCCGCCGATATTCAAAACGAAAGTATAAGGACAGACGCCGGGTCCTCGCCCGTTCCAATCTGTTATGGCCGCAGGAGGCACTTAGGAGATCTGATGCGGGAGAACAGTCAGCAGCCTCATACTTAACACAGTCTGGAACCGAAAGACAGAGCTATAGCTGATCTCTGAAATCGCCTCGAAAACACAGACCCAGTCAGGGGTCGAAAATATCTGTCGAAGTCGCCAACGAAAATACTAATTCGAACTGGGTATGAAACTTAGGAGATAAGATGAAGGAAAACAGCAGCGGCGACATACATAACGCAGTCTGGAACCGAATGACAGAGTTATAGTTGATCTCTAGAATCGCCTCGAAAAACACAGACCCAGTTAGGGGTCGTAAGGATCTATCGATGCCGCCGGAAAAAATACATGAGAACATTCGCGGAGGAACTTCGATCAACTGCAGAGACGATGAAGTTTTGTGGTAGGCGGCCAGTAGAATTGCTGGCGCCCGAAGTTCACTCGGGTATAAGATAGCCACAGACAACATACAAACCACGGGAACAGAAGTTAGAACGGGTGAAGAAGCAAAATTAGAAAGGACAGAGAGAGCAAAAAAGAAAGAAAGAGAGATTAAGGAGAGAGGAGGAGGAGGGAGAGAGAGAGAGGGAAGAGGAGAGGAGATGGAGAGAGGAGAAGATAGAGAAAGGAGAGGGAGAAGGGGAGGAGAGAGAAAGAGAAAGAGAAAGAGAAGGGAAGCAGAGGCGAACGAAGGTACTGCGTATCGGGTGCATGGACTACACTTGCTAAAATCGGAAAGCGCACGTCGGAACAGTAGCGTAGAGTATGTCAGCGCGTAGCACCGATCAGAGAAGAGGACTTGGGGGACACTTTTATGAAATAAATACCGATTGCAACGACTCAAGCATGTATTCTGAAAATGGACAGGTCTGGTAGGGTGCATGCGGCAGGGTAAAAGAGTGGCCCTGACTGGGTCAGGGGTTACGGTAGAGGGGGGACCGTGTAAGGGGGGTGTTGTTGAGAAGGAAAGGCCTACAACTGTGAATCGCGAAATTAAGGAAGTTTGTCCTTGCGAGCCGAGACATGGGGACCATCAAAACAGACCCGTAGCCCTTTATGGCGGAAAAAAATCATCAAAGGTGGAAAAAATTACTACCCATGCATTCCAAATCTTACGGTGGTTCAAGGAAAAACCCTTGAGACATCTGGAGAACATGTTAAGGGGAAAAGACTGGAGCCTGAGATCCCGTCGTAATGCAAGTAGACTAAGACCCATTCCTTTGTTGTCTGAGGAGTGGGTCAACGACCTCTTCAAATGACACAGAATAACACCTCTTTTTTGCTGGATCGGACCATAGGAAGCGAAGTCTTGATTGGTCAAAATCAGAGTAGAGGAAGCATCTGTCAAACAATGCTGATTCTTCATAGTGGCCACACACCTAGCAGATGGAGGAGCACATAAAGTAGAAACCGTAGTACCCTGGAATTCCCAACACCCACTCCCGTCATCTGTTCGAAGAAGGGTCAGGTTGTTATCGTAGGATGTGAGAAAGTTCTTGAAGATTACGCTGGCTTTTTTAATGAAGTTCGTGTTGACCCGGGGAAAGAGGAAGAATATGCCAACATCATCAATCAATCGAAGCCCAAAAATTAAACGAGCATCCAAGCCCAAAGAGGAGATGAAACAAAACTCGTTGTAGGAACAGAGTAGGCATGCAAGAGCGGGAATGAAGCTTTTCCCCATAGGGATACCAATAACTTGCCTCAGTAGTTGAGATCCGGCAAAAATGAAAATGTTTTGTAATTCGAATTTGACAGAGGCTGGAATCTAGGAAAACTTCACTCTAACCCATCCATTCGAAGTGGTTTTGGAGGAAAAAGACACGCCTCTGCCTAACTTATTTACACAAATACTTCTCATACCTTTAGCTCTAAAATAATCACAGATCCATTCTACTACCGTCATAATGGAGGCGTGTGGAAGCTTAGTAAACACTTCCTTGATGTCAAAACATGCAAATAATAAAAAACCATTATGACATCTTGTTGCCTTAGTTTAAATCGAGGTTATCCTATTTTTAGCCATAAAGGTGGAACGAAGATTGAAGTGGAATTGCGGAGTGAGTGACCAAAGAATAGCATTGATGGCTTTCCCTACAATTCGGCGCATCCGAACTGTAGGTTTAGAAAAGGAGGGTGAAATGAGTCTCCACCTACTCGTATCTTTATGTTTAGGAATCATGTAGCAATACCCGGAAGTTCCACCCTGTTTCCAGTCGGCTAGGCGATGGGAATTGGAATTGAAAAATTCCTCTTTAACCTTAAGATAGATGTCAGTGAGAAATTTATCTTCCTGTGTGAACCCTGGGTTATCTAAAAAAAGTGCATCCATAGCGTTTGAGTAGACCAACTGACAGCAGACGAATGTATCCCCAAAGTTATGGTCAATGGGCATCACGACCAGTCCTTTCAATTTAGCTATCAAAACCATAGTATCGTCGGGGAGAGAAGGGTAGCGATCTGAGAGAGGCTTGGTGGAGATGCAACCTTAGACAAATTCTCGTGAGGGGGCACGGTTGTAAGGGTTGGATAGTTTAATGAGTCTAGACTCAATCGCCTTCAAGATCTAGTTAGGAGAGGAGGCGTGAGGGGGTTTATAAATATTATTGGTGTTAGTCAGTAAGGAGGGAAGGTTAGTAAGTTCAGAGAAACGGAAGGAGATATAACCATCTTCAGTGCGGGGAAACCCTTTCAATGAAGCACAGGTACATTCAGAAGAGATAACTTTAGAAATCGCCCGATGGTTGTGTATCAGTTTAGCAATAGACAAATTCGTAGTCCAGACAATGCGAATTCTCGAGATCAGGAGATCGCTCAAGCATGACTGGGGTACCCGTTTCCTAATCTCCTTCTTAGTAACCTTTGCAACACTAGATTTTCTGATACAATGATCAAATCTATTTTTTATCACAATGCGACTCAGACAGTTGAAACCAGCCATTCTAGAGATACATAATCCCAAAGTCCTTTTCAGTCTTCCTCTAGTTACATTAGAGGAAAAGAGATCGGTGGTGTTGTAGAGCTTAATCAGGCTCGAGAGCGAAAAATTACGCAACAACTTAATGGTCCAAGGGACGTGTAGCAGGGATAAAAGGATATTTCTGCGTCTTTCTCTTGCGTTGAAATTTCTGCGAATACATGTGAAAGTGAACATACCTCCTGCCAAATCATACAATTTCAAAAATTTGAAGAGTGTGATACGATCATTAATAAACACAAAAGAGGATCCAAAACATCGAGCAATTCTACTCCAAGCTTCAAGAAAGATACTGCCACCAGAGCTCATTACGGTAGCAACAGTGATGTCGTTACTACGCCAGGCATCTAAACAAGAAAAGAGGGAGCAAGAAGAGTAAGGCGAGGGGGTGGAGGGAGGGAGGGCCGAACCCGGCGCAACAGAGAAGCAGATAAGCGTTTTGGGGGGGTGGGGGCGAGTAACCCTTTGTTGTCTAAGAAGATTAACCCTCTCTCTCCTTCCCTTCCTCCGACAGTCATGTTTTTTGTGAGAAACACAGGAGTTAAGCATAGGATTCCATCGTAAGATGAGATGGGATTCAATGCTACGGAGTTCATCCATCAACGGGAAAGCAATGGGGATGGCGACATACGAGTGCCAACCCTTCTTACCAAGCCAGGACTTAAGTCGATGACAATGACTCCCTGTGCAACTACAAGGTAATCGGACATGCTCATGTCAACGATCCGTAAAATTCCTGACAGTCGATCCGATATAGACTGCGTGAAAAAGGGGGGAGATAAGAACGCAGACACACGGACCAACCGGATGGAACAGATCAAAGCCATGTGCAAAAATGTCTGACCAGAAACCGAGGAACTTCTTAGCCCACGCTAATTGTCCTAAAAAGGTCAGGAGAACGACCAGAAACCATGTCCATGCGTCCCTGTATTCCCATTCCCTACCCCTCATCACTACATCTCTCCTATTACAAAAGGTTTTTTGCCAGAAGCGTCAGATAACAGCGGGATCCACAAATTATCAGGAGGGGTTCTCCTCTTGAGTATCAGACGTAATGTTATCGAGACCTTCATCATCAGAATCGTCACCATAAGCATCTCGTGAGCGAATCTCTGCGAGATCAGCAGAGGCTTGCTTCTTGTTATAGTACTTGATCTTGTCAGCCTTGCAAAGCGATTTCAGTTGGTACTTGGTCTTCGTGAGCAGTTCCTTCTTCAGATCCTCAAAGTACTTCTTACGGCCATCTTTCCCGGAGGAAGCTACCGCAGCCTTCTTTCCAGGGATCACACGATTGAATCCCAGAGGTTCATCGACCACAGCACGTCTGGCAGGTGAAACCGAGCGTGATCTTCTTCTTGCCGCATTACCAGCAACAGAGGCGAACATGCCGGCGAGTCTAGCAGAAAACCGGTTACCGCCAGGAGTCGTGTTCTCGTCCACACGACCTTTAGATGAACTTGGATCTGTTGGAACAGGAGCCTTTTTCCGTGGATAAGGAGGGGGCGGAGGGGGAGGCGGAGGC